TCCAAAATGACTCCAAGGTTCCTCACAGTGCCAGTGCATGCAGGTGCTAGGGCACCTAAACTAGGTACCACAGCAGCGGAGTCGGGGCTGAACACAATGTATTCTGTCTTGTCCTCATTTAAGTGCAGAAAATTCTGCGATAGCCAGAGTTTTATGTCACGTATACAATTTTGCAGCAGGATAAGTGCACCACTGTCGCCCAGTGTCAGTGGCACATAAATCTAAATGTCATCAGCATAAAAATGAAAATGAACATTGTGCCTTGATATGACTGAACCAAGTGGAGACATATACAAAGAAAATAGTAGTGGGGCCAAAATCGAGCCTTGGGGAACACCTGAGGTGAGAGGAGCTATGGAGAAATCACCAATCATCACAGAGAAGGTCCTATTTGTCAGGTAAGAAGTGAATCATTTTAGAACTGTGCCTCTCAAGCCAATCCGGTGTTCCAGCTGGGAGAGCAAAAGTGCATGGTCGACTGTGTCAAAGGCTGCCGATAAATCTAAAAGAACAAGAACAACAGGCCGCTTGGCATCTAGGGCCATAGTGATGTCATTATGGACCTTCAATAGAGCCGATTCAGTGCTATGACGAGTCTTAAAGCCTGATTGAAATTTATCGACTGCATGTCCATGTCCCTATCATCCCCTGTATGACTGGTCAACACAGCACATTTGCCAGATGATGTCACTATTTGGTGCAGTGAAAGGTGAATCAGATCCAACTTTTTTACTGCATGAGGTTGCCATCATTTTGTCCCCTGTCCCCTGAGGTACTGGTGCCTGCTGCAGTGAATGTAGTACCCCATAGACATGAACGGAGAATGGAGAGGGCTGCGTTTTTTCACTCCTTTGAAACTCCGTCTGAAGCTGATGCATAGTTCAGGCACCATTCTAAGGTCTGAAGAGACTCATGAGAAATCGTACAGGAGAGAAGCCAGTCCGTTGAGTTTGTGGCACAACCTTTTACAGTGCTCGTGTATTGTTGTATTTTACTGCATACAATAATTCATACTCAGAAAGTGGCAATGACGTGACACTTTACAACATTAAAGTATTTCAAAATGCAGTGGCACCGTTTTGCATTTTTTTGACTTTTAGTCAAATAAAGCACTTTTTCCAGTCATATATTTCATCATTGAAGATGTCTTAAAAATTGTATTAAAATACTGTCTAGTCCTCATGAACCCAATATCAAGTATCATCTCATCTCATGAGCCAAGTGTGTTATCACACCCCTCTGGTACTGTACTCGTACTTGTTGTCCTATATACGCTCTAATACCAATTAAAAGCATTAATTAACCTCCCACTGGCTGAGCCAATCGTTAGGCGGCAGAAAAGAAATTTCAGCAGCTTGGGGATATTTTAAGATAAGTGATGACAAACGCAAAGCCAACTACGAGCTCAACTTGTGTTTTGTGCGTGTCTGTCTATCTATGAGCACACCTCCCTCCCTGTCTCACAGACACACAGGGACGAGGTTGCATTTTACAGACTCAATATGTGCAACAAAACCAACAGTAACAGAGAAAGTAATATCTGATCCCAACCCTACTAAATATTTTTCTGTTTTATAGAAGTTTTGATCACAGACCCACTGGGAGTGTTCCTCGTCCCCATGTGGTCATTGATGGCTCAATGCCCATTCCTCTAAACATTGACACCAGCATTGATCCTTGACTGTGGGTAGGCATGTCTACCTGTAAGGAGACAAATACACGAATAGCTCTTGATACAGGCCACAAATGTATGAAACATTTGAATCTGCAAATGGTATGTGGTTACACACATTTCTGGTTCCAGCTTCTTGTGCTGTCAAAGTCGGCATCTCTTGTGTTGGGTCTCGTGCCGTGGTTTCACATAGAGATGTCTGCCCATACGGTGGCTCCGGGTTAGGAAGGGCTGCACCTCTTGCTATCCCTAACTTTGGTTGAGCTACAGGTAAGAACAGCCCTCTGGCTTGGCCAACTCCTCCATCATCAGGTTCCACCGGCAGCCCTCTAGTTCGTCCTAGCACACGCTCAGTAGGAGGCAGAGTTACTCCTTGTCCTTGTGGAATATCACCAGGGGTGGGAAAACCTCTTGCGCGTCCTGTACTAAGCACTTCTGTAGAGAGCAGCAGCCCTCTACTACGTCCAATAGCCAGCTTTTCAGGCTGTTGTCTTCCGCGTCCCATCCAAGGAACACCTGTCATACCACTGAGGTCAGGGGTCTGGCTTGGATCCATTCAGTCCACTTCTGAGTTGACCAACAGCTGGCACAACAATGGATTAAGTCTATGAAACAACACATAGGATAAATGTCAGCAGTACTCTCATTTCTCATTAGCACTATAGTATTACTACCAAAGAAATGGTACACAGCCAGTGTTAGGGTGATTTTTATTTTACACACTTATGAATGGTTTTATTTTATACGCCTCACACCAGTCTGTCAGATAGCACGGGCTGCAGAAAATCTGAGACGACACCACATAGTTGTATTTCCCTGGACTGAACTCTGACCATCTTAGCCCAGCTCTAACTTACCTAACATACAAATCCCATTTCTAGAAAAGTTGGGACAATTTCCAAAATACAATTATAATTAAATTATAATTTGTTATTTTGCTGGAACCATTATTTAACTGACATGTTGTCACTGACCAACCTAATTAAATGCATATTGTAAATATAAACACATTTATAATTTGATGCCTGCACCATACCCAAAAAAAAGTTGGGACAGAGTCATGTTTACCACTGTGTTACATCACCTTTCCTTTTAATTACACTTTTTAATCATTTGGGAACTGAGGATACCAACTGTTGCAGTTCTGGAAGGGGAAAACTGGCCCATTCATGTTGGATACAAGACTTCAGCTGCTCAGTCCATGTTCACTGTTGTCTGATTCTCCTCTTCATAATACACCATACATTTTCAATAGGTGACAGATCTGGATTGCAGGCAGGCCAGCCAAGCAGACACACTGTGTCTACTGGGGGTGTACAATTAATCATTGTACGATCTCAATTCAGACCCCTACACAATCTTATTTTCACATGAAGTTTCTGCCATGTGTGAATTAGCAAAGAGATCCATTACATCAAACCAAGAAAAAAAGTCTTGCGAGTGAGAGTTTGCAAGATGTGTATAAACCTAGTTGCGTATGCATAGAAATACTAGAACATATGTACATCTCATTTTTTGAGCTTTAGTAAGATGAGAATTCACCATTGTAACATTGTAGATAAGTCAAAAAACAAGGAAAAGCATGCCATGGACACTTTAACTAGCATGACTCTGTTGTGAGGAAGGGACGCAAAGTATTAAGCGATAGTTTACGGATTTCCTTGAATGAGCGTAAAATCCATGTCATGTGAGCTTGTCTGACATCCACTGACGTCCCCACCATATTGGCAAAATGTTACATTGCCTTGTTTGTTATGTCTATTTTCAATAAAGCTTGTGTAAAAAAAAAAAAAAACAGCACCTGGTTTTGTTGATATATTTTACCTCCTGCTGCTGCACTGTGACCAGAGGATGTGGAGAAAAATACAGGGCCTGAGGTTACTGCATGTCTGGGAATGTTCCTGTACAGGACTGTTTTACCTGACCGGGTCTAACCTACAAGCAGCCGGACTATAAGGACCCTGGCAGCAGTGACTGATCAGCTCATCAAGGCTGGTTTCCCCCGGAGCACAGTACTTGTTTGTTTTGACTGCTGGAGGCCAGTGTGTCTGCTGCATGTGATATGTTGCTGGATAACGAGCAGATTAACATTCCATGATGTTATTGTCGGGGCTATGCTACCTGTTGGAATTAATTTCACTACTTTGGAAATGTATGTGGTCATGTTGGGGGAAGATGCAGCGGCCACCGGTTGTATTTACAAACCTTGCAGCTACTTGAAAGGGAATGATGTTTCCACTACTTGGTGGGACTTAACAGTAAATAAAAAAAACACACATTGCATGTCTGTTAATGCGCCATTTCTGTAACATTAGAGAGAATTGTTGTAAGGCTGGAGAAGTTACTATGTCTGCATTATGCCAGTTAAAATATGGGGTTTCTCAATTACCTGCCTTGTTTAGAGTGTTACACATCTCTTTTCATCGGGTACATATACCGCTGTTTACCCGTCTATGGAGGAGAAATTTATGTTAATTAGCCTTCAAGTTTTGTTGTGCTGTCCACTTGCGACACAACACCAGCAGCAGGAGTTGTGCTTGTTCACAAACTGTCCTCTGGTTTTATGGAAGGGGCTTTTTGGCTCTCTGATTCTGAAACAATTACAAACTATTTGGAGTTACAGCGGGGCAAATAAGTATTTGATACATTGCCGATTTTTCTATTTTTTCCACTTACAGAGAATGGACAGTTCTGTAATTTTCATTGTAGGTACACCTCAACTGTGTGAGGCAGAATCTACAAAAAAATCCCAGTAAATCACATTGTTAGATTTTTAAATAATTTATTTCCATTTTATTGCATGAAATAAGTATTTGATCACCTACCAACCAGCAAGAATTCTGGCTCTCACAGACCTGTTAGTTTGTCTTTAAGAAGCCCTCCTATCCTCCACTCATTGCCTGTATTAATTGCACCTGTTTGAACTCGTTACCTGTATAAAAGACACCTTTCAACAGCATGGGAGAAGGTCATGTGGTCAGATGAGACCAAAATAGAACTTTTTGGTATAAACTCCACTCGCCGTGTTTGGAGGAAGAAGAAGGATGAGTACAATCCCAAGAACACCATCCCAACCGTGAAGCATGGGGGTGGAAACATGCCTTGGGGTGCTTTTCTGCAAGGGGACAGGACGACTGCATTGAGGAGAGGATGGATGGCGCCATGTATCGCGAGATTTTGGGCAACAAAGTTCTATTTTTCTATTGTATCAAATACTTATTTCATGCAATAAAATGGAAATAAATTATTTAAAAATCTAACAATGTGATTTTTCTGGATTTTTTTGTAGAATCTGTCTTACAGTTGAGGTGTACCTACGATGACAATTACTTCTGTCCATTCTTTGTAAGTGGGAAAACTTGAAAAATCAGCAGTGTATCAAATACTTGTTTGCCCCACTGTATAAGGGTGCCAAGCTAATCTAGAGGTACCCAAGATTAAACATTAAATGAGCATGCCATGGGTACTTGAATAGTTACAATAGGGGACTTCACTCATGGTTTAGCGATAAAATAGGAACTTCAGTGAATGTTACTGCCAGATTTTTTAACACCCATGATTAAAAGATAAGGTCAGACATTTTCTAGTATTTTCAACAATCCACATACAAAGACTAAAATTAACAATGAATTTCCTCTACTCACCGTTGGGTCAGTCAAACCTGGATTATTTTATTCATCTACGCCACAGGCACTGTTGTTCAAAAACTACAAAAAAAAAAAAAAAAAACCAGTAAAACATCAGACTGCTGATACTCTATTCAGTGATAATCATTCTGAGATGCTGTAGTTATGGAGTGTAATATGAAAGCCGTTTGATAGGTTTGAATTGTGTCAATAACAAACTTTAATATTACAAAATTATATTTATGTTATATGTAGATGTTGCATGCACTGTTCTACAAATGACCATGGTTAACCTGTGTTTACTCCATAATTCTTGTCAAGTTTGATATGGGGCATACACAAGGTGTGCGAAAAATATTAATATATTCTTTGACAATACTACTGAATAAAGGAATATTTAAATGAACCAATCAATAATAAATCAACACACACCCACAACATTTAGGTAAAGTGTTAGTGGATTTCCATTTTTTTTTATCCAATACTTTTACTGTTTCAAATAAAAATGGTAGTTCATACCAATTCTCCACGACTAATTTCATACTTAAATATATAAATTATCAAACTCCAAATGCATAAATATGGAAATATATATATATATAGAAAAAAGGACGCATTTAATTCAGCAAAATGCACCCTGGTCCTTTCCGAGGTCCAGTTATCTTTCATAAGTCGTTTGTAATCTTTGTTAAGTGAGTTTGCACGTGGGTATTTTGCAAACAACTAAATATTCAGAAAAGAGATACACTGATATAAATGAATGGGTGTAACCCTAATTTTTGTCACTTAAAAATACATGTAAGCTTGAGGCACTGATAAACAACCGTATATCAAGATGTTAAGCCACCTTTCTGATTTCAGAAGTGGCTAACGGTTATATTAATTAGCGAACAAGACACGATGATGCAGTGACTCAGTAGTTTGCATTTCAATGCATAAAGGTACTTCTAAAACGGCATTACAGTCGAATTAATGCTGTTTTCCAATTCTTTAAATACTTACCTTATCCACCCAACCCTTGACATTTGTGTTAAAATTTAAGTTAGCTGTTATTTTCCAACAAAATGTTTTCCTGTGTAGTCCTGGGACAGCAGCTAACGCTAGCTAAGGTAGCACGTTTTGAAGAAAACCACGAAGCCCACGGTGACAGCCTCTACCTATTAGTTACAACCAAAATACTTAGATAAAAGTCAGCGCTATGTTTCAAACCTGTAGCAAAAATAATACAGTATTTATTCACAAAGATAAGGCATTTCAGCTCACCTATTAATCAACCATACACACAAGGTGAAATCGGCACTAGGTCGATCTAAAGAACGTGTTCCGAGGGTAGACGGATGGTGTCTGCCTTCCGATACGCATATTGGATAATCCCTATATTCTGCAGTAGGTCATTGGTTCGTTGAACCCGTCAATCTTTTATTGGTAAATTTATTGTTTTCCCGCCCTCTGGTGTGCACCTCAGGTACACGGCACTTGTGTTGGAAAGGTATAGTTGTACAAAATGTGTGCAATAACCAATGGGATATCCGATATTGTAGTCTACATGTCTGTGCGCAGTTGCATATAAACATCATGAGGCTTAGTGATTATAAATAATTGCTCAACTGCATGGTGTCAATCTGCTCATATTAGTTAGTCATAAATCATTTATCATCACACATTAGGCCAGTTATTTTACTGATGTATTTGAGATTTTAAAAACCTACATGTTCACTGTCACCACACTGACTGCTCAGATATTTGTGTACAAATATAGTGATGATGATATAGTGATATAGTGATGATATTCTTTTGTAGACTCTTTCAAAAAGGGTTGGCCTATACTTAAATTATGAACAATGTTCATGATTTATAAAAAATATATATATATGATATATAGATTTATAAAAAATATATATATATAATATTTAAAATGCTTGAAACAAAGATATAAACTGTTACTGTGTGATTAATACAAACTCGTGAATAAGCAGGCTGCTAACATGTCCTGACAATTTAAAAATACATGCTTTTATGGCATTTAGGGAAAATTATGGCAAGTCTTATGAGTCTATTTATCCCACTTCATATCTATGTACACTAATTTTGGAATGAAAAAGGCACAACAAAAAAGATAATAATTATGAAATGATGTTTCGGTACCTAATGATGTGTTGGCGAAAGTTCAGTAAGGAAGATCTCATCCCTCCCATTCTACTTGTTCCCTAGTGGGTTAATGTGGGCTATTTACTGATTTTATTTCTGGTCTGTTTCTTCTTTTTCTTCCTGGTATATTTCTCTCAGTCATTCGCCTCCCCATGCTATCAAATCATCCTCCACCTTCAATCTTGACATCATCACATCCTTGAATGAGCGTTGTTATTCATTTATTGAACTCAAGGTCAACTGCTGAAATTCACATAGATTGTTAATTCTTCTTTGTTAATTGAAAAAAAAGCAATAAGTATGTCAATAGAGGGGGTTTAACATTCTTTGAAGTCCAAAAGCCTGCAGGGCTTTGGTTTTCAGGTCACTGGTCAGGCATATTGGCAATTAGTCTTAGGCACTTTTGAAATAATCACAAAAATGCTCCCTGAAGTATTGAGGTGATGTCTTTGTGCTCATACCTGGTCTCTGCAGAAATAAACTAAGCATTGTTCCAGAAAGTAAAACTGGATGAATCTCTGATTAGTTTTTCTCTGAAGTGATGATTCTAAGTGGAGTGGTAAATGATGATTTTTGTTTGTTTGTTTTTCAATCTTATGACTTCTGCTGATGAGCAGCTGTCGCCTCACAACAAGCAGGTTATGGGTTCAAGCCCTGAACAAGCTGGGGCCTTTCTGTGTGGAGTTTGCATGTTCTCCCTGTGCCTGCGTGAGTTCTCTTTGGGTACTCCAGCTTCCTCCCACAGTGCAAAGACATGCAGCTTAGGTTGACTGGTGACTCTAAAGGAGTGAGTATAGGTGTGTGTGGTTGTCTGTCTCTAAGTGTCAGCCCTGTGATAGACTGTTGACCTGTTCAGGGTGTACCCTGCCTCTCACCCAATGTCAACTGGGATAGGATACAGCCCCCTGTGACCCTATTCAGGAACAAATGGTATAGATGATGGATGGATGGAGTTCTGCTGACATAACTGCTGAGAAACAAAATACAAGTTACATAAATATGATAAAAAAACAAGGCAAATGAAAAATGTTAATCTTGTTCATAATCCTAAAATGCTAGAAGACCCACACTCTAAGCCAAAAGGACTCTTATGTGGTTACTTAAATATCCAAAGATGTAGTTAAAAGAGTCAATTCCATTTATGACATTTAATGTCCCTGGTTACAAATTGTTTAGGAGGGACAGGAGAGATGGCAGAGGGGTGGATTGTGAATCTATGCTAAAGACCATTTTAATTGTAATGTCATTCAATGAGAACATACCATTGATTTGGTGTGTACTGACTCAATGTTACTCTTTCCATGAATTTGACTTTTATTATGTTAGCTCTACATACTGTAGACCACCATCGTCTGATAGCATGTTTTATAAACATTATTAAAGAATGGTATGCAAGTGAATATAAGTGGTATGCAAGTCAATATTAGTCATATTGACTGGTCCATTTTGCTATCTAGTGATGAAGAGACAGTGATAGGATTTTTCACCCTTATTTGTTCGGTGGCCAAAACCAGACACATGTAGGTGAGAGAATGCTGTACATTAAGAATAAGAATTGGGTTCAGCATGCTCACTTGGCAGATTTGTGATTATTTTAAGCCATTATACGTATTGTTTGTACAAATATGTTGTAATATGTTATAGCTAAAATCTAATATTCATCTGTGGCCCCTGAATGGAGGCTGCCAGAACCAAAATGAGAGAAAAAAGCTTTCTAGACATATTATGATATAATAAAAGACATAGTGTTTCATGTCAAGACAAAATGTTTAGTATTAAAACTACTATTAAATCTTTAAGCATTTTCATTTGCTGGCATATAACTCAAAACAACACTGGAAGCACAATTATGCTTGAATGAGAGGTAATGCGTGTGACTGCTCTGACTGAATTTTCAAATACTTAAAAATTAAGATCAGGGCCTGACCCCTTGGCATGATTCTCCTTCATTTATTTATTTAAATAATAGGAACTCCTAACAACAGCAGAGAGTAAAATTTGTGTTAAAAGCCAAGCATCTATTGGTACAGTGCCTAAAAGCCTTTGCAAATGAGTTTAAACTGTTGTTTGTCCATATGAATATTTATTACCTGCCCCTTTTCACACTGGAATTATTAGGACGACCCTTTTCTTTGTTGCACTGCAATATGTGTTTTAAATATGTATTTGTAAGCCTTAATGTTATAATTATTTTTCTGCACTTTTCTGCTGTGAGTGGGCTTTTTACTATTTTAGACATTTGCAAATGATTTTGCTCTGAAGATCACATTTTCTGACAGACAGTTCCAATTTGGGTCAACGCTAATGCAGAGCTGGGCTTTTAAGCCACTGTTACAAATGTATTCAACCAAATCAAATGATAATTTAGCAGTAGACTGTGATCATTTTTCATGGTTTGATACTGAAATAATTTCACCTTTATTTACTTTGAGTAAATAAAGACTTATAAATATATGTGTAGAAAAAAATTGTGTTACTGAGATAAAGGGGTTTAAGACAAGCAGCTGCATGGCTTCTGCAGTGAACTAGTAAAAATAACTTGTTTTATGCTGTAGTAGGCACAATCCAGCTTGTTTAAGTTACATGAATTATATGACTAAAGCTTAGATTAATACCTGCAAGAAAACCCTTCTTATAGTACATTTGTCTGCCAGGGGATCACCCCTTTGAGTTTGGCACTAAATCACATTCAGTACAAACCCTCTCTGTGTTGTTAATGGCCAGGTGCTTCTGAACCAAACACATTTTTCTATTCTGTTCCTTGCTTGCATTTTGTTTTCATGATGAAATTACCTGTTTGCTGCCCAGCTCCTGCTCTCTGCCTGATTGTGTCACTTTATTAAGGTTGTGTTCGAAAATCCTCAATTTGCTTCAAAGAAAACAAGATAAATAATGTTTATCTCCTTCATGGCCTATGAAGAGGGACAATCTCCACCCGCCTGCCTTCAGCCATAATCGACATTTCAAGAACAGACACCTGACTTCAGCTGAATGACTACTAACATTATGCCAGCCCATGTCAGAGACACAGATGGGTCGACATAGTCAATAGCATTTTCAGACATGTCTAATGCAGCATGTTTGGATAAGACCTGAGGGGGTTGCTTTTGAGACTATGTTCTGACATACTGGTGTAATTACAGGTCAAAATGTAAAGCATGATGTAAGCCTGCATCAAAGAACACGTTCAGATAATGTTTTGGTTTCATCAAGGTTCTTAATGTGCAATTGGAAGGGATCTGGGTCTTATGAGCAAATGTCACATGGACTCACATGGGGCTTGTTTATTGAACACAGTCTTAGTAACTTGACATCCAAACAGGACACCTGGTATATAGCAGCAAGGGGGATCAAAACAAGTTTTACATATTGAGGTTATTTTCTATAAGTTGTTCAAATGATGCTTTCACTTCTGACTAAACTTGTTAAAAGAGCACAGAGATCTGTGGCTTCATCTGCTCTCAACCACAACAGCAACAAAATTCACTAGCTGGGGCCTGTCCTCAGGAGAACTGTACTTGGCGTAACTTAGATGAACTGCGGTTTGGGGGGGAAAGACTTCAGGGACCTGCACCGGTCTCGGGCACTGGCAGACCCCCTGCATGAAAGGGGAGAAAGAGAAGAGAGCAAGATGCAGAAAGAAGGGGAGGGAGGGAGGGTTGCAAAAAGCAAAGCAGAAGTAAGGTTTATTTGGTGGTTTAACTATAATAGGAGGAGGAAGGGGTGTGCACTTTGGGGCTTGCCCTGCTCCTGACCTTTAGGTTAAAATCTCCAATAAATGAGTGATGCTCAAGCATCGCAAGGCACTCCTTATACTTGATGCCTAGAAGCACCACAGACTAACTAGTACTTACACACGACTGTCTGGAAGGGCCCAAGAGCTCATAAAACTGATAAAGAATGCAAAATGACCAGCACATGGCTTTTGTTTATAGTTGTTGTCTGGGAATTTTGCTCTTATGCAAGAAAACGGGAGGAGCACCCCCTTATAGACATAAGATCAGTGCTCAAGGGCACAGGCCTCTCCAGAGTCAGAGGGAAGAAACACACCACAGCTGTTGCTGCCTGGACAATGATGCTAAGAGCCAAAATCCTGGGAAGCTTTTCCCCATAACCTTGCTGTCTCCCAGCATGGTCAGTGGTGCTCGATTTTCTCTTTTAATTTGTCTTCTGCACTTACACTTTGAGGAGCCAAGGCAATCAAGAAAAACATCAGCTCCTGCAGTAACATAACTACACTATAGGTATAAGTCAATAGTATAGCCTAACTTTGTATAGATAGGTGATTTTGTTTGCTTATTGGAGGCACTGCTAAAATGGCTTAGCGCTTTAAAACAAATATCTGTCACAAGGGTGCCAACCAGATCATTCTAAAAATAATAATACATACTGCAGTGGAGGAGATATGATGTGTGAAATTATGTGAGATTTTGACTCACGGCCAAATATAAAATAGACAAACATTATATTCTATTAATAAAACTGCAAACAAGAACTGCACACTAGAAGGATTACTGAACAGGCTGCAGGCACAGTGGGTGGGGGGTCCTGTCAGGTTTGCTCGGCCGCTCTGGCCTCCCTCACCTTTCCTACTGTCTCTTACCCATTAACACTAATCACGTTCACCTGTTCCTCACTCCCTTATCACCAGCTGCACTTGATTAGGTTGCTCACTATATTACCCGGTTTCACTCCTCAGTCACTTGCCAGTTCGTTCTAGTCTCTAGGCCATTTTTTCTCCGTGCTCTTTCGTTGTTTTGTATGTATTTATCCCCTAGTCAGCTACTGTTTTGTGTTCCCACCATGGACTGTTCCTCCAGACCATGGCTCCACTCTCCCCTCCCAGGCAGGTCAATGCTCAGTCGCCTATCTGTTCTACTATTGTCATCATCTCTCTGTCTCCCATAATAAATCACTGCTTGCACCGAAGTCGGCTACCTGGGTCCGCCTCTTTCTCGTTCGCTCACTGACAGGTGCGAACGGCACATAACAGTCCTGGTCTTCACCTGCAACATATCCCTGAAAGAGACTGAAAAAAACAAAATGAGACACTAAACAACCACAAAGGATAAAAAGTTGCCATAGAGAAATTCAAAATGAGCAGAAAGAAACACATAATTCAAACCTACTACAAAGAGATGTAAAACATCTACAATGAGATCCGCATTGTCCTCAGAGAGATGCAAAAATGATCCAAAATAACCAGAAGGAGATACAAAAACCATCTGCAAACAGATGCAGAAAAATGCAAACACATATAAAGCAACAGGGTGAAGCACAAACTACAGAGCTGCAAAACCAGTACAAAGAGACAAAATGTCATTCAAGACACACAGAAAGACCAGAACAGTCAAAACAATCAAGGTATATGGCATCATGGCTTGTGGTCATTTTGTGCCTTTTTTACTTGGGTTTTTATTCCTATAGGAAGGGAGGGGGCTTTTACACGTCTTTGTCCAGGGGCAATAATCCGTCCATATGGCACACAGTATTGTAGGACTGGTGGTACAGCAAATAATCACCATTAATAGGGATTTATGGCTTTGCACGTTTGGAGCTCTATGAATCCACTTTGACACCGCTGTTTTATCCCTTATGTCCCTGTTCAGTTAATAGGCTGTCTGTGCGTCCTAAGCGATGCGTCACATGGAGAGGTGCGGTTTACACAGCGGAACTTCTCAAACAGCCCTTCTTTGCCGGAGTAATGCACCGAGAAAGAAGCACATCTGGAGCAGCTACATTTAGATTGTCAAACTTTTTTTAAATATAAATTTGGATTAGAAGTTCTTTTTCTCTCTAAGGATGGATCGCGCTCCCGTATAACGCTTCAATAGACGGATCCTTCTTTAATAGGAACCTGTCGATAACCCATATGATATGTTGGCAGCTCTCATGTGGTGCAGCTGCAACATCCTCAGTTTAAAACCGCTGGACAGGGGCTCGGAGCAGGTTACACAAATCCAAATATGCGCTTAACTGGAATGCTGTGGCGAGGCGTCCCTTGCACCCCTACCGGGATAACGTTGCCGTGATGTTCAATACTTCGGGAATTGAGTTCACTTTTAACAAGAAAGAGGATATTTCCGAAGTTGTCAATGACACCCCGCAGCTTCTGTACAACTCCCCCGTCACCAGCAGTCCCCCAGCAATGTGGAACGAGTCGTGTGGGGAGCAACTGCTGGATTTCGGGCGCCCGGAGAAGATCATTATCGGGGTAATGCTGGCAATCATCACGGCCGTCACCGTGATGGGAAACACGCTGGTGGTTATCGCAGTGTGCGTGGTGAAGAAACTAAGACAGCCTTCTAACTACCTTCTGGTATCCTTAGCAGTGGCGGACCTGTCGGTGGCCATAGTTGTGATGCCGTTCGTAATAGTGACAGACCTCACCGGGGGCAAGTGGCTGTTTGGGGAGGTGTTCTGCAACATCTTCATTGGCATGGATGTAATGTGCTGCACTGCCTCCATCATGACCCTGTGTGTGATCAGTGTAGATAGGTAAGTTCTCAAAGTTTGTAGCCGGACTGAAGCTGTTGTGAACGCTGTCATTTTAACGGCACCAAAGATACGCATGCACTGCGCTTAATGACAGGGAGACAAATATAAGCCCTTTCATAAAAGGCAAGCTCCAATCCAAAGTACACCGGTGCCAAACACGAAAAGTAACTAGAGAGAGAATACCATTTAAATGCCTAATTCCAGATCAACCGTATCACCGTTTATCAGTGCGGCTGAAGCCACTGATCCTGACAATGAATACTCAGACTGATTAGTTTATAGCACGCTAAATTAATTAGCTTTACCGGACCATGGGCAGTTTCCCTTATAATTACACATTTCGAAGAAGCAATCATCGACCTTAATGCCACTGTCACGTTGATACATGATTTACCATCGTCCTACAGTTCAGTTAAAGGCACATGGGTCGCACCTGCTCTCTATGACGCCCTCTTAACAATTAAATGACAGCGACAGCATCATGGAATTCAGTTGACGCACACAGTGCAGCAGGAAACGTTCACTTCTCCACTACAAATAATGCATTAACACACTGTTCCAAAACTATTCAGGAAATTGGGTTCCCTCAGCACCCCAAAGGGAAATACTGTTAATTCCACATTCAAAATGGGGAAGTGCCTGAGCGCTCACTCCACCTATCCAGGTCCACCAAGAGCTATCTCTGCATCTCAGGTATACTACAGATGTTTGAAGTCACTGTTCAAAATGCCAAAGCTGAAAATGATAGCATGTGACAAATGAGACATGTCCACTTTTCCCACTATAATCCACAACAAAATCAATCAAGTGATCAGTGTCACTGTTCTGTCTCAGTAACCATCATGAAGATAAAAGCTTATTGCAACATTGATGATCTGATTATTTCCTCCTGCCTGCCAGTCAGGCATTATCACCTCAATGCATTGCAGCCAGGATTATGCATGTTTCCTGCTTGCGGATGTGCTGAGCATGAGGGACTTAAAGCACGCCTGAGAAGCTAATGATTGAAGAACTGGCTAACAAATACTGATTTCTTCAGTCAGCACTGGCAAAGCTGATGACTGTGTTCTGGGCTAGTTGAATAGAACAAGCTTATTTGGGTAGAGGCAGAAGCACTTCTGAGGCTGGGTTAGAGGCCACAGTAGAATAAGATGGTCAGTTTGTGGTCATTCACTCCCCAGTCTGGACACATTGTTTTTTGTTTTAATGCCAGCAGATATACAAGGAGGACAGCATTTGATCTTATTAATGTGAAATGTGCAATGTCAGTATGTGAAAACCAGGCCTCTTTGTCATCGGGTTGAGAATAAGTGTGGTAAATCACCTCTTTCAGGTCAAGTCTCATATCCATTATCTGTGATTAGAGTTGTGAATTGCTAATAGCATATAATCTGAAAGAACAAATGCACCCACCTTTCACTGAGCATGTCTGAAAAGAAAGTGGATGATTGAACGTGTTACACCCACCAAATCACACAGTTGTAGCAGTGTTGCCAGTCTCTCAGAATTTTTGCCTGACATGAGGCTGAACAGAGGAGTGGAAAAATAATGTGATGTCACTTTGGCTCTATTTTTATCGCCACACAAGACGTAGTCTGTAGACCAAGACATAGTCTGTAGACCAAGTCCCCATGAACAATGCCAGGCTGGTTCATCACGTGACACACACTGACCCAAAAAGCCTTTCTCCTTATGAATAATCACTGGGAAAGGAGGATATTTTTATTTGATCTTATTCATGTGTCTGTGAACAGGAAGTCAGCCAGCTCAGCGATATTGCACATGCTCTATGGGCCCAAAACACAAAAGCATTCATTACATCTGAGTAATATATACGACTAGAACTGGATGCATGAAGAATTCTCTCTAGAGTATGTGCCACTGAGCAACTTGTAATCTGAGAGGTAAACTGTTTGCACTAATCTCCATGGAAACAGACTTAGATGAATTAAAGAGTGCAGAGTGTGTTTGGCATATGAATCACAATAGGTATCATAGATAATTCATTAGTGTGGGAATTGCCAGTTAGACACATGATTAGCTGTAATTAGGGCTCTCTCACTGTCATCTTAGAAGGACATGCATAGTAAAATTGAAGTTGAAGAGTAGGGAGTGTTGCAAATGAGGCTCAGGACTATATAGGTGTGCTTTTTGGGGTTAGAAAGATCCTGAAGACCAGTTGCTAAACAGCAAAGAGGGATATTGATTGTCTCTCACTGCTGCTGTAGGTTTACAGGGAAATGCTGCACTGATGTGGCAATATGGACAATGCAGTAGCCTGCTAGAGGAGTGTTCCCTGGGGAATGTATGATCCTGCAGGAACTTGACAGGTTTCAGTGGATTAACCTGGGGGAATCTCTAACATTCACCATCCACATTAACATGAGTCTAATGAGCAGCAGTTCAGTAAGGAATTGATCAAACGGAAGAGAGTAACAGAATTTATTGTGTTGAGCAACACAGGGAATTTATTTTGGTGATTAGACTCCTGCGATGTGAAGTGTCTTCATCAGGCATGGGCCCACATGAAGATAAGAAATAGGATGATACCCTGGTGGTGGTGTGGAGTGATTCAGTTCAGTTTCTTTGTAGAGCCAAATCATAACAAAATTATCTCAAGGCATAGTGAAGTCTAGACCTTACAATATTATAGTGGAAAAACTCAACAAATTCCCCCTGAGCAAGGACTTGGTGATAGTGGGGCGGAAAAACTCCCTTTAAGGAAAGAAAACTCTTGGTGGGCGGCCTTCTGCCTTGACCGGTTGAGGTGAGGGGATAGAGAAGAGAGAAAAGAAAAACATCAAGACACCACAATGAAAACAACAAACAAGCACTGGGCAAGTTGACGTGGCCGGTGACTGCTCATCAGAAACATATAGTACTCCGCAGAGCCAGGGACACCTGCAGAAAGGTACAGGGAGAGAGAGAGAGGACACACCATGGGAGAGAGGAGATACAAATTTAGTGACATGTAATGATGGCACAAATGCATGGAGAAAGAGGTGAGGAGAAGAAAGGAGAGGAAAGAAAGGGGCTCAGAGGATCATGGGAAGACTGACTGTGACCCTGGTCATCATGAAGGTTATGGTGGTGTTGGGGAGGAGGTGGACTGCACAATCACAGGTCTGAAAAACAGAGTGGGATGAGTTGAAATGAAATTTAAAGAAGGGCAGCTGGTGACTGATTGGCTGGAGCACTGCAGGCAGAAAGATCACTGGTCAGATAAGATGACTTCAGCATAGAAGGTGGAGGGACATCTGACAATGTGGGAAAACAGATGACGGAGAGAAATTCATTCGAAATGAAAAGCCCACATCAGCCCACTTGAATTGCAAGCCCCCACAACATATACACAAAAAGTAGTTTATAACTAATATTTGACACAGGGTCTCAAATTTACTTAAAGGGTTACTCCAGTGATAGTTTTGCATCTCTATAAAGCTGAGGCTTTGATGTCTTTCAGCTCCCAGACAGATCTAAAAGAGAAACTTTTTCATGGACTAGATGATGAGTAAACTGAACATAATGTGCAAAATTAGTAAACTGAGCTATATTAGTAAAATTTGAGGAGTGCTCTTTTAATAACACAGGACGTGGTTAAAGGCAGTTATTGTGATTTTAGTTGATGCTGTAACTAAGTGGTGCATATTCTTGAAGACATTTTCAGTTCATAAAATTACCCCAAACTATACATATAGGTGTGAGGCACCTGGTGCAGCTGGCAGTGCAGCCTTGGCCTAGTTCTACAGTCTCCTTATGTGGCAGAATTTCACATGCAGTTTTTAAAGACTATTTATACTTTTGGCAGTTTGTCTAATCAGGTGTTGCTAATTTAGCAACAAAATGTGCATTTCCTGTCTCAGCAAACAATGTGGGAAAGTTATATTCAGTTTACAGGCTTGAACCAATTTTAATATTGTCACATTAGAATTTCAACTGGATTTAGGATATGAATACTATTTTGTAAATCAGTATTAGAGGTGAGCAACATGAATATGATTTTCTATTTTGGTATATGTAATTTTGTATCACATTACCTATGTGTATGATTTAATATAATACACTTTCTGGAAAATCAATTAAGAAATTGTTAACAGATAAAGTGACCACATGAAACATGATGTTTTCTTAATCCAGCAAATCAAATACCAAGCAAATCAAAGTACAGTAGTTTATCACAGTATTAAAAAAAAAAAAAAAAAATCATGAAAATCCAATATTGCCACTAAACATTTCTAAACATTCATGTCATCCTTGCACCCAAACCTTCTAAGTTTGTATTAAAGATCTAATGATGGTGAAAAATTATATATTATATTTCACTTAAATAATTTTAACAACATTATCGCAACATTATGAGGAAACTGAGTCAATATAAAAATCTACTGTAGCAGTGTAAATGCTGATCTATGGCTGTGGATGTTTTTATTTAAAAATGAATATTCATTCGTCACCTCCAGCCTTTTTTCAGTGGAACTTCAGCACTGCAAACTGCAAACTGAGCCTGATGCACCACAGCACCGACCCAGCCACAGCAGGAGCAGCAGAGTCCAGTCTAAGGGTTGTGAAACCGAGCTAATATACCCAAAAGACTCAAGTCTAAACTAATATAGGTTTAGTTTTTCACAAGGTATCCCAGCATGCACTTTCAGCAAAGCCTTAGCTGCTTTCATGTCCACTCCCTTCAGCTACAGTCAGTTTTTACCTTCACTGAGATTAATATGTTGTATGTTCAATAATTTAAAAGTCAAATATGAATGATTTATTCACAACAGTGGGAACAGAGGGAAGTCCCTTTCTGCAGCTCCCTCAGTCAGCTAAGAAAAGAGCTCTAGAAGAATGGACAAGCTTGGTATAGCCAGAGATAGATACTGACTCAATTTGAATATGGAATATATAATTTTATATCACAATATCCATGCATACAGTATGATGATACTGAATAATATAGTACATTTTTTGTCCTATTAGTAGAAAATGGATGTAATGTAGGTCAAGAA